TGCTCCTATGATGCTGCTTGGCCTGCTGTGTTCATCCAGCTCTGCACCTTGTTGTCTCTTATTAACTTGGGTCTTTGGTGCTGATCCAACTGACCCACACCAACAGGTGCTGCGGGGGGTTCCTGTAACCCCTGTTTGCACTGAGGTGTGACTGTGCTGAAGGTTGAGTGGAGGTAGGAAGGGATGCCGAGGCAATGCTGAGTGAGACACTCCTGGATGTTGAAGATCCCTCTCTCGTCCTCCAAGTAAAAAGACCGAGACAATGCTCCAGTCATCCTCATGAATATCAACTGGAACATCTTGCTTTGCTCCAGGCAGTACAGGCTCGATGGGCCAAACAGCTGTATTGTGTAATTTTATCTCAGATTCCAGTGTCAAAGGATGTTCCCAATGGTGAGGGGATCCAGAACCTGTGGTCGTCATCTAAGGATACAGGATAAACCTTTCAGGATTGAGATGTGGAGAAATGTCTTCACCTACAGTCATACAGCAGGGAAACTCGTCAATGCCCACCAGATATCATAAGACCATAAGACATAGGAGCAGAAATTAGGCCATTCGGCCCATCGAGTTAGCTCTGCCATTCAGTTCCTCAACCCCATTCTCCCGCTTTCTCCCTGTAACCCTTGATCCCCTTGATAATCAAGAACCGATTTATCTCTGTCCTAACTATACTCAATGACCTGGCCTCCACAGCCTTCTGTGGCAGTGAATTCCACAGATTCACCACTCTCTGGCTGAAGAAGTTTCTCCTTACCTCCGTTCCAAAGGGTCTTCCCTTTACTCTAAGGCTGTGCACTCAGGTCCTAGTCTCTCTTACCAATGGAAGCATCTTCCCAACATCCACCCTGTCCAGGCCTAAATTATCCTAAATTAATCCAGTCCCATTTACCAGGATTCGGCCCATATCCCTCTAAACCCTTCCTCTCCATGTCCCCATCCAGATGCCTTTTAAATGTTGTAATTGTACCAGCCTCCACCACTTCCTCTGGCAGCTCGTTCCATACACGCACCACCCTGTGTGAAAAAGTTGCCCTTCAGGTCCCTTTTTAAATCTTTCCCCTCTCACCTTAAACCCTCTAGTTTTGGTCTTTCCTACCCTGGGGAAAAGACTTTATCCATGCCCCTCATGAGTTTATAAACCTCTCTAAGGTCCTTTGAAGTGTTCAAGTGGGGAGGCTGTGGAATTCTCTGCCACAGAAAACAGTCAGGGCCAAATCATTGCATGCTTTCAAGAAGAGGTTGGATATAGTTCTTCGGGCTAAAGGGATCACAGGGAGAGAGGGGGAACGTATTGGATAATTGGCCGTGATTATATAGGAGGTGGAGCGGGCTTATGGGCCCAATGTCTAATCCTGCTCCTACGTTTCTGTGAAGGGACCTCAATTTTCTCTGACGCTGAGGCAGTCCAGACAGCATTGGGTGGCAAGTCGGGTAAAACTGATTGAAGTGAGAAGCAGGACAGCGGTACAAAAATGGCTTCTTTCAGTGCCACACCAATTCAGCGAAGTCTGCACACAGTGGTCCCTGAGATTCAATCACGCTGAAGATGTGAAATGGTTTTGTCACACTTTCAATGTGGAATGGTTAGTCAGACTGGGCTTGTTCTTCCCCAGATTGTAGAATAGGGAGGGAGTGACCTGATTGAAGTGAACACGATCCTAAACCCTTCGTCAAAGTGGATGGGGAAAGGATGGTTCCTCATGTGGATGGGTCGAGATAGTCACACAGCACAGAAATGGACCTTTCGGCACAACCAGTCTGTGCTGACCATAATCCCAAACTAAACCAGTCCCACCTGTCTGCTCCTGACCCATATCCCTCCAAACCTTTCCTTTCCATGTCCTTATCCAAATGTCTTTTAAACGTTGTAACTGTACCCACACCCACCACTTCCTCAGGAAGCTCATTCCACATGCAGACCACACAGTGTGGAAAAAAATTGCCCTTTTTTGTCTTTTTTAAATCTTTCTCCTCTCACCTTTAAAAATATGCCCCCTAGTCTTGAAATCCCCCCACCCCAGGGAAAAGACAATTCATTCACCCTGTTTATACCCCTCAGACTTTATAAACCTCTTATAAAGGTCACCCCTCAGCCTCCTTCGCTCCAGTGAAAAAAGTCTCAGCCTATCCAGCCTCTTTAAAACTCAAACCCTCCATTCCCGGCAACATCCTGGTCAATCTCCTCTGAACCCTCTCCAGTTTAATAATATCCTTCCTATAACTGGGTGACCAGAACTGGACACAGTGCTCCAGAAGAGGCCTCACCAATATCCTGTACAACTTCAACAATGATGTCCTAACTCCTATACTCAAAGGTCTGAGCAATGAAGGCAAGCGTGCTAAACGCCTTCATGCTCACCCTGTCTATACGTGACACAAACTTCTAAGAATTATGGACCTGAGCCCCGAGTGGAAAGGATGTTTCCCCTTGAGTGGATCCAGAATCATAGAATCTTTACAGTGTGGAATCGGGCCGTTCGGCCCATTGAGTCCACACTGGCCCTCCAAAGAGCATCTCACCTCATTCTTGTAACCCTGCATTTCCCATGGCAAACCCAGCGAGCCTGCACATGCCTGGATCATATGGGCAATTTAACACGGCCAATCCACCTGAAACCTGCACATCTTTGGACTAACTAGTGGGCACGGGTTTAAAATTAGGGGCTGCCCTTTCAGGAGGGAAGTGAGGAGATTTATACATCTGAGGTATGAATTTGGGACCCTCGAGTCTGCAAAGATGGTGGTCATTGAATAGTTTGAAGGGGGAAGTGGATAGATCACTGTATTACGGAGCACTAGAGGCTTAGAAGGGAGTGGGAATTTCGGGCTGAGTGGCCTCTCGGTGCTGCTAAATGATTGGGTTGAGTGTCCAAATCAGAAGGGGTTCAAACTGTAGGCAATGGAACTGAAGGGAGATAACTGTAATAAGTGTTTGGACAGCATGAAGTCCCATAGAATGTGGAGGGCTTTTTCTGGAAACAATACCCAGCACTTGCTATGATTCTCCCCCACCTCGTTCGAACAGTGTCTCTCATTTTGTTTAAGTAGTGTCTCTGTCACCCCCAGACCCTTCTCCATGTGCACCTTATCTCTGCTCATTGGGTAAGGATTCATCCTGCGAATGTGTATCAGACAGCTCATGTATCTAACACAAAGACCCGTTTTACCATGTGGAGAGTGAACTCTGCTCAGAAGCTCCGTTCCTCATCGATTTCCTCAGACTGCAACAGTTTCTCGTAGCGAGCTCTCGCCTCCCTCAAACGCTGAACCATCACTTCATCCAATTCCGGGAACAGCTAGAAGGCAGGACATTATGATCAGAAATTCCCTCGGCACTGACCCTCCGACAGCGCTGCCTCCACAAGCTTGTGTTATTATTGTCTGTTACCTTTGCAACTGCTTCAAACATGGGAATGAGAACCATCTGGATGAATCCTATTTGCACATTGGGTTTGGTGACGACATCTCTGTCCATGAACGACACGACAGGGAGACCTTCGAACTTCTCTCTGTCGCTCTGCCGAATAACCCAAACAATTAGCATTCTGGAGAGTCTGGAACGATATAATCTGTACTCACTAACCTCAGAACAGTCCATCAGTTTGTATATCCCAGCATCCCATTATACCCACTGAGGGCAGACAGGAGTGGAGTCTATGATTAACCCTCCCTGGGGCAATATGTTGCACGTAAACCCAGTCTCTAACTCACTCGCTTTACTGGCCCAGTTGTTCGAGAGCAGGTTACAGTTTCCTTTATTTAATAAGGAGTTATATTTCTGACGGGCCATTCAATTCCAGGAGGGGTAACCAACTGAATTCAATTAAGTACGCTCAACAAATTAAATCCTAAATGCCATCTAGACGCCCAGTGACACACTCTCACTCACTCACTCACAGGCACACAAACTCTCTCACTCACTCACTCACAGGCACACAAACACACGCACTTGCTCACTCACAGGCACACAAACACACTCACTTACTCACGCACTTGCTCACTCACAGGCACACAAACACACGCACTTGCTCACTCACAGGCACACAAACACACGCACTTGCTCACAAACAAAACACTGACCCTCCGACAGTGCGGCGCTACCTTAGTCCTTTTACTGGGGGGTATCACGAGCTTGATACGATCGAAAAATTGTTATAGCATCAGTAAGAGGCCACTCAGCCCATTGACTGCACACCGAACCTCTGAAGAGCATCCCACCATTACCTTATCCTTGTAGCCCTACATTTCCCATGGGTAATCCACCCGAACCTGCACATTCCTGAACACTGTTTCTGAAGAAAGATCCAGACCCGAAACGTCAGCCTTCCTGCTCCTATGATGCTGCTTGGCCTGCTGTGTTCATCCAGCTCTACACCTTGTTAGCTCAGATTCTCCAGCATCGGCTGTTCCTACTATCTCTGAAACACTGTTTGCAGTTTGGCATGGCCAATCCACCTGACCTGTACATCCCCGGAGTATGGGAGCTCCCAGAGTGGAAGCCCACACAGACAGGTACAGGGAGAACATGCAAACTCTACACAGGCGGTCAGCTGAGGCTCGAATCGAACCCCGGTGCTGCAGTGCTAAACACCGAGCCCTTATGGACCTCAGATATTCTGAGCCTGATTTCATGGAGCCTGCATGGCAATGATAATTAGACTGGATCCCTCTCATTTTCGTTAATGTGCAGTTTCCAACAGGCTGGTGCATTCCACCATCTCACAGATGCAGATGTTTTTTGCCAGCTGTAAGGCACAACTCCAGGCTTAAGAGATCGCAGATTGTGCGTCGATCTCTAGTAACTTTCATTCTCCCTCGCTTTCCCTGGGTTGGCCGATGGAGATCAGTCACCAGACACTCATCGCTGGACTCGATTGCTCAAAGGCCCAGAGCACAAGGGAGCACAGGCACGACCACAGGCCGACAAGGGCTCGGCACAGTGCGGAGAATAGTTTTGGGTGCCGAGACGTTTCCGAAACCGCTCCCCCACCTACACCCCTACACTCCAGGCCGCAAGAAAAGTTTGGAGCAAGCCTCTCACCTGCATGAAGTACTCCTGAAGGAGACGGTCGACCCAGGGCTCGGACACGTCCATTGGCCTCACTTCGTTGGAGATGTCACAGCATTTGATCAGCACCTGCTTCAACTGAAGGAGGAGGGTTGAGTCATTGATGGTGGAGCGTTCAGCCAGCATCGCGGGATGGGGCAGGCGCCGGTCAATGCAGTGCCTGCGTTCAGGGCAGTGAGAGTAGGGTGTCGCTGAAAGGTGGGAATGCCGAGAGCATTCCTTATCCATCCAGAGAGGCTGGAAATGGCAAGATTCAGGAGCACCAGGGGGATAATGAGAGAAATGCCCACACCGAGGGTAGGGTTCTGTGGAATCCCCTCCCCTCTCTGGCCACCCGGAGAGCTGTGGGAGGACAGTAGGGTTCCAGACAGTGACCCTGATCACTTTATAGGCTCTTGGAGTTTGGATTTGGTGGAGAATGGGATCGAACTCAACTGGGGCAGCAGCATTGGAAGGAAGGGCCAAGTGGCCTCTAGGTCCTTACCTCTCCTTCCAGGGAAACGCGTCGCGCCTGGAGTCACCAGGACAAAGGTTTTCAAATCATTTGGGAACTTGATGGAAAAATTGAAGTGTGAAGGAAATTTTGAAGGGGTCGGTATTTGGCATGAATTCAGTACCAGACCAAGACTGAACTCCCAGAAACAGGAATCAGCTCCAGTGTCAGGATCTATGTGGACTGAAGGATGCTCCCTCAGCGCTGACCCTCCGGCAGTGCGGCGCTCCCTCAGCGCTGACCCTCCGACAGTGCGGCTCTCCCACACCTCTTGCTGGTCAGGTTCTCGATACTTACCAATCTGAGGTGCTCAATGTTCTTGTAATCAAATTTGTCAGCACAGCGTGTGAAAGCACTCATGATTTCTTCATGTCTGGCCATATCTGTGGCCAGGAGGAGTTCAGTAATACCCTAGTCAGGAGAGATACAGAGATTGGTATGTCTTACTCTGACAGAGAGGAACTGAGATACAGGTCTGGACATAGAGTCATAGAGTCGTACAGCGCAGAAACAGACCCTTCTGTCCAATTCGTCCATGCTGACCAGATATCTTAAATTAATCTAGTCCCATTTGCCAGCATTTGGCCCATATCCCTCTTAAACCCTTCCTATCCATGTCCCCATCCAGATGCCTTTTAAATGTTTTAACTGGACCAGCCTCCACCACTTCCTCCAGCATCTCATTCCAAACACACACTCTGTGTGTGAAAGTTGCCCCTCAGTTCACTTTTAAATATTTCCCCTCTCACCTTAAACCTGTGCTCTCTAGTTTTGGCCTCCTGGGGAAAAAAAATGACTTTGTCTATTTACCCTATCCTTGCCCCTCAATGATTTTATAAACCTCTATAAGGTCACCCCTCAGCCTCCAACGCTCCAGGGAAAATAACCCCAGTCTATCCAGCCTCTTCCTGTAGCTCAAACCCTCCAACCCTGGCAACATCCTTGTAAATCTTTTCTGAATCCTTTCCAGTTTCATAACATCCTTCCTGTAGCAGGGAGACTAGAATTGAACGCAGTATTCCAAAAGTGGCCCTAACCAATGTCCTGTACATCCGCAACATGACCCTCCCAACTCCTATACTCAATGCACTGACCAATAAAGGCAAGCGTACCAAACACCACCTTCACCGCCCTGTCTACCTGCGACTCCACTTTCAAGGAACTATGAACCTGCTCCCCAAGGTCTCTTTGTTCAGCAACTCTCCCCAGGACCTTACCATTAAGTGTATAAGTCCTGCCCTGATGTGCCTTTCCAAAATGCAGCACCTCACATTTATCTAAATTAAACTCCATCTGACACTCCTCGGCCCATTGGCCCATCTGATCAAGATCCTGTTGTACTCTGAGGTAGCATTCTTCACTGTGCACTACAACTTCCAATTTTGGTGTCATCTGCAAACTTACTAATCATACCTCCTATGTTCGCATCCAAATCATTTATATAAATGACAAAAAGTTTAAGTTTCCAGGCTCATGGAGGCTCACTGAACAGCCTCATTTTGTGTTTTTTAAAATGTCTTTCACAGGAAAACGGTGTTGCTGGCCAGGCAGCATTTATTGCTCCATCCCTAATTGCCCAGAGGGCAGTTAAAAGTCAACCACATTGCTATGGGTCCGGAGTCGCTTGTAGGCCAGACCAGGTAAGGATGGCACCTTCCTTCCCTGAAGGACATTAGGGAACCAGATGGGTTTTTCCGACAATGGGATTCAGTGTCTCCATTAGATTCTTAATTCCAGATATTTTATTGAATTTAAGTTCCACCATCTGCCTTGGAGGGATTTGAAGCCAAGTCCCCAAAATATTACCTAGATCTCTGGAATAACAATCATGATAATACCACCAGGACATCACCTCCCCAGTAACAGTTCCTGTGACACAGGAACAGGAGAAGTGGGCTGAATGGCCTGTTCCTGTTCCTGTGGAACAGCCTCAAGGGGAGGGCTGAATGGCCTCCTGTTCCTGTGTAACAGGCTTGAATGGGGCTGAATGGCCTCCTGTTCCTGTGTAACAGGCTTGCAGAGGGGTCTGAATGGCCTCCTGTTCCTGTGTAACAGGCTCGCAGAGGGGTCTGAATGGCTTCCTGTTCCTGTGTAACAGGCTTGAATGGGGCTGAATGGCCTCCTCCAGTTGATCCATTATTCACCTACCTCCTGAATCTGTGTGAAGACCTCTGGACGAATGTTACTGAAGATGTTGAAGTCAGGATCAGCGAGGATTTGGAATGTGACGGCACAGCGCTGATTCTCCAGTGGGGAGACATTGTTGTAACGTACAGCCATCTCTGTTTGAGCGTTGATCTGATATCTGTCCAGGGAGGAACATAGGTAAATTGTGAAATCAGCCCTGACATTGCCCCCGCCCCAATCGCTCTCCTATCTTGCTTTCTGAAAATACTGAACTAAAACAAGGAAGGACATTATTAAACTGGGGAGGGCTCAGAAGAGATTTACCAGGATGTTGCCGGGTATGGAGGGTTTGAGTTAGAAAGACAGGATGGATAGGCTGGGACCCTTTTTCACTGGAACGTAGGAGATTGAGAGACGGTTTTATAGAAGTTTATAAAATCATGAGGGGTATAGATAGGGTTATTGGTGGGTGTCCTTTCCCCAGGATGGGGAATTTCAAGACTAGGGGGCACATTTTTAAGGGGAGAGGAGAGAGATTTAAAAAAGACACGAGGGGCAATATTTTTACACAGAGGGTGGTTCGCGTGTGGAATGAACTTCCTGAGGAAGTGGTGGATGTGGGTACAGTTACAACGTTTAAAAGACATTTGGATAAGTACATGAATTGGAAAGGTTTGGAGGGATATGGGCCAGGAGCAGGCAGGTGGAGACTAGTTTAATTTGAGGCTATGGTCGGCAGAGACTGGTTGGGACTAAGGGTCTGTTTCCATGTTGTGTGACTCTATGACCCTATGAACAATATTAAATAATGACTCAAAAGTATGGTAACTTCAGGATATGAAGAGGAAAAGACAGGGTCAATCAAAATAAACTATCTCCACTGTTTGGAGATTCGGGAATGAGGGCCAGAGTGCTCAGGAGAGATGCTTGGAAGCCCTTTGACAACAAAGTTCAGAAATCTCTTCCACAAACGGCAGTGGTGTTGGATCGGTTGTTAATTTTAGTCACAGAGCACCGAAACAGACCCTTCGGCCCAACTCGTCTGTGCCAACCCGATATCCTAAATTAATCTAGTCCCATTTACCAGCATTTGGCCCGTATCCCTCTAAACCCTTCCTATCCATGTACCCATCCAGATGCCTTTTAAATGTTGTAATTGTACCAGCCCCCACCACTTCCTCTGGCAGCTCATTCCATACATACACAACCCTCTATTTTTTTTACCTTTATTCATTCACGGGATGAGGGCGTCGCTGACCAGGCAACATTTATTGCCCATCCCTAATTGCCCAGAGGGCAGTTAAGAGTCAACCGCATTGCTGTGGGGCTGGAGTCACATGTGGGCCAGACCAGGTAAGGACGGCAGTTTCCTTCCCTAAAGGGCATTAGTGAACCAGATGGGTTTTTCCCAACAATCGACAACAGATTCACGGTAATCATGAGATTGGTAATTCCAGATATTAAATTAAATTAAATTCAAATTCTGTCATCTGCTGTGGCAGGATTTGAACCGTTGTCCCTAGAATGTTACCTGGGTCTCTGGATTAATAGTCCAGTGATAATACCACTAGGCCATCGCGCCCCACCACCCACATGAAAAAGTTGCTCTTCAGGTCCTTTTTAAATCTTTCCCCTTTCACCTTAAACCTATGCCCTTCCAGTTTGGACTCCTCTACCCTGGGGAATAAAACTTGGCTGTGCACATTGTCTCGGAGATAGTAGGAACTGCAGATGCTGGAGAATCTGAGATAAGAAGGTGTAGAGCTGGATGAACACAGCAGGCCAAGCAGCATCAGAGGAGCAGGAAGGCTGAGACCCTTCATCAGAAATGGGGGAGGGGAAGGGGGTTCTGAAATAAATAGGGAGAGAGGGGGAGGCGGATTGAAGATGGATAGAGGAAAAGATAGGTGGAGAGGAGACAGACAGGTCAAAGAGGCGGGGATGGCGAGCAGTTTCAAGGCCGAACAGATTATGAGAGAGTTGCAGTGGGAGAGAGATCCACTGAGGTTGTTCCGGAGGGAGGAGGGTAACTTCTTCAGGGTAGGCATCCTTAGAAGAGGCTTCACAGTGGGGTTATTTCTGAAGAAGGGTCTAGGCCCGAAACATCAGCCTTCCTGCTCCTCTGATGCTGCTTGGCCTGCTGTGTTCATCCAGCTTTACACCTTGTGCACATTATCTCATAGTTTTTTAAACCTCTATAATGTCATCCCTCAGCCTCCGACGCTCCAGGGAAAAGAAGTCCTAGCCTATCCTTATAATTCAAACCCTCCAGGCACAGCAACATCCATGTAAATCATTTTTATGCCCTTAAAAACAAATTATTTTTGTTAGGCAAAGAACATGGGCCAGTTTTATATCGATCAGCCTTGATTTCAATGAATGGTCTCGAACGAATGAATGGCCAGCTCCCATTCCTTTATTGAAATAAAGGGTAAAACTGTGTCTGTGTGTAGTGTGTGTGTGTAAGGACAGAGCAGTGAATGAAGCACACAGTGCCCTTGGCTTTGTTAACAGGGAAGTACAGGAGCAAGGTGGGTGATGGTGAACTTGTACAAGAGCCTTGTTACACCTCAGCCGGGTGGCACGGTGGCTCAGTGGTTAGCACTGCTGCCTCACAGCGCCAGGGACCTGGGTTTGATTCCATCCTCGGGCGATTGTCTGTGTGGAGTTTGCACGTTCTCCTCGCGTCTGTGCGGGTTTGCTCTGGTTTCCTCCCACAGTCCAAAGGTGTGCAGTTTAGGGTGGATTGGCTGAGCTAAGTTGTCCTGTAGTGCCCAGGGATGTGTAGATTAGGTGGGTTATAAGGGGATGGGTCTGGGTGGAATGCTCCAAGGGTCGGTGTGGACTTGTTGGGCCGAAGGGCCTGTTTCCACACTTTAGGGATTCTATGATTGTGTCCAGTGGTGGGCCCCACATTATAGAGAAGATGGGAATGCATTGGAAAGAGAGAGTGTGTGGGAGCGATTTACAAGAAAGTTAGTACACAGGTAGAGAACCTCACCTACATCTGATGCTCCTGAAAACCCCCTCTCGATGATGATTCAGAGGCACTGACTGGGCAGATGGAGGGGTGAGGTGGGGTAGGGGTTAGGGATATCTACCTAACAATCAGAAGGTGAACTTACGCGTTGTTGTAGCCGGGGTGGTCCAGATCGTGGCAGATGGCAGATGTCATGAGGATTAAAACCTCGGTCATGCTCAGCTTGGCCTGTTTGGGTTTGGAGATTGAAAAGTCAATGTTCCTGATCGGGATCTTGCATGGACCTGAAACTGAATTGGGCTGACATGTGTCGTGAGCTGGCGTTATATCAAAATGTAGAAAAACAGGTGGGGCAGGAGCAGGCCCTTCCAGCCTACACCACCATCCAGTTTTTTTTAATTTATTCACGGGATAAGGGCATCACAGACTAGGCAGCATTTGTTGCCCATCCCTAATTGCCCCAGAGGGCAGTTAAGAGTCAAGCACATTGCTGTGGGTCTGGAGTCACGTATAGACCAAACCAGGTAAGGGTGGCGCTTTCCTTCCCTAAAGGACATTAGTGAACCAGATGGGTTTTTCCAACAATCGACAATAGTCATCATTAGATTCTTAATTCCAGATATTTTATGGAATTCAAATTCCACCATCTGCCATGGCAGGATTTGAACCTGGGTCCCCAGAACATTATCTGGGTCTCTGGATTAACAGTCCAGCGATTATACCACTAGGCCATCACCTCCCCTGAATACAGTTATGCAATCTCAGTATCCCACTCCCACCCTTTCCCCATACCCCTCAATCCCTTTAGCCACAAGGGCCATGTCCAGCTCCCACTTGAATATATCCAACAAAATGGCCCCAACAGCTTCTTCTGGGAGAGAATCCCACAGGGTCACATCTCTCTGAGTGAAGAAATTCTTCCTCATCTCAGTCCTGAATGGCTTACCCCCTTATTCTTTGACTGTGACCCCCAGTTCCAGATGTCCCCAACATCAGGAACATTCTTCCCACATCTGGCCTGTCCAGTCCCATCAGGATTTTATATGTTTCTATGAGATCCCCCCCTCATTCTTCTAAATTCCAGCGAGTACAGGCCCAGTCGATTCTGTCTTTCCTCATCTGAAAGTCTTGCTATCCCAGGAATCAGTCTGGTGAACCTTTGCTGGACTCCCTTAATAGCAAGAACGTCCTTCCTCAGACCAAAACCGCACACAATACTCAAAGGTGTGGCCTCACCAAGGCCCTGTATAACTGCAGCAAGATATCCTCACTCCGATACTCAAATCCTCTCGCTATGAAGCAGAGAGCGCCATTAGCTTTCCTCATCATCAGGACACATGCAAGAATGCCAGATTTCGAAGGGAGCTGGTGTTGAAGGTGCTGGAAGGTAGGCTATTGACTGGCACTCACTGTGCCCTCCTCGAGCAGCTTGTTCCTTCGTCTGTTCACTGCAAGCACTAGTGCCAACTGTAACACAACTGGCCTATCTTTGCAGTACTCAGAACACTGTGATTGGGACACCACCTGATGAACAAGCCTGGGTGCGCTAAGAACGACAATTTTACAATTAGCAGTTAGATTGGCAGGGCAGCTCCCTAACATTTGCTGTCTGCGTGCAGAGACCAGTCCTCTGCAACTAAAAGGAACATGCCCAGGCTTTGCCACTGTTTGGAATTCTGCAAACCACCGGGGGAGATGGCGGGGTGGGGGGGGGTGAAGAGAGCTTCTCTCTGTCTTACTCCACACCAAAGCTGTGATCTAACCAATCAGAGCACTGTTCCCACATCACGTGGGCTGTTCATCCTGCTGAGATATGGCATTCTTGCAAATGTCCTGAGGTGTGACAGACGCAAAATGTCAACTGGCTGCCAACTCATTCAGTAACAAGGCTGTAGCAATCTCTAGTGATTGGCCATCAAGTGGGATCTTTCTTATTCTTTCGCAGGATGTGGGCATCGCTGGGTGTGCTTGGCATTTGTTGCCCCCCCTTGAGAAGGTGGGGGTGAGCTGCCTTCTTGACCCGCTGCAGTCCATGTGCTGTGGGGGTTGACCCACAATGTCCCTTAGGGAGGGAATTCCAGGATTCTGACCCAGCGACACTGAAGGAACGGGGATATATTTCCCAAGTCAGGATGGTGAGGGGCTCGGAGGGGAACTTGCAGGGGGTGGTGTTCCCATGTATCTGCTGCCCCTTGTCCTTCTGGATGGAAGTGGCCGTGGAGTTTGGAAAGGCTCACCTTTAGGTTGCAGAGGTGAACCATCCCATGCATCATCTGCGTTACAGAAAAACAGTGCCGGAAGTTGTGGAATGGAACATCTCTGTAATTTTCCTGGACACAGAGCTGCAAGAGAGAGAATGGGAGAGAGAGAGAGAGAAATTTAAACTTCAGGAACAAGCCATTTGCCACACCCCCCAACCCTCAGAGTGTGGTCAAGGTTCACAATTGATGGCAAGAGGCTACGGGTCAGGGTCAGATTCACAGAAACGCACTAGCCAGTGTTTCAGGGGCAGGTTAAGGGTCAGGGTTCAAAATCCAAGTTAGGGTCAAGGTCAGGATTAGGGTTTCTGTTATTGATATACACCAGGTCAGGGTCAGGGTCAAGGCTAGGGTCAGGGTCAGGGTCAGGCCTGAGGTCAGGTCACTGCTACAAACCAGCCAGCGTTTCAGGGTGATAGCGTTGATATTAAACTCCTGGACCAGGCCCAAGTCGTGGAACATGAACTCAATGCAACTGAGCATCTGTAGGACAAACAGAAAAAAAAACTGACAGTCACGCTTCATCATGTTCCCTTGTCACATCAGGCAATCAGATCAATCACCCCTAACAAACACCCTAACCCTAACCCTACCCTTAACCCTAACCTAACTCTATCCCTGGTCCTATCCCTGACCCCTAACACTAACCCTCACATTAACCCTAACACTAACCCTCACATTAACCCAATCTCTAACCCTAACCGTATCTCTAACCCTAACCATAACCTTAACCATAAACTAAACCTAACCCTATCCTTAACCTTAATTTAACCCTAACCATAATCCTAATCCTAACCCTATCCCAAACCCTAAACCTATCCCAAACCTTAACCTAACCCTATCCCTAACCCTAACCTTAAAATTAACATTAACCTAAACCTAACCCTAACCTTAATCTGAACCTAACCATAATCTTCACCGTGAACTAACCTAACCCTAATCCTAACTCTAACCCTAACACTACATCAACCTCAACATTAACCTAAACCTAACTATAACCTTAACAAGAACCTAAACCGAATCCTTATACTAACCCTATCCTTAATGTTAATTTAACCATCACCCTAACCCTATCCCTAATCTTAACCTTAACCTAACCCTAACACTGACTCACATGCTGTACCCTAACCCTAACACTAACCCTGACCCTAACCCTAACCTTAAAACAAACTTAACCCTAACCCTAACCCTA